CTCTTCAAAAACTACATAAACTCAGCTAGGCACGGAGGAAGCACCCATTCAACTGCGCACTGTCGATGTCTCCTCGACCGGGGACGAAACGTTTCCAGGCCAATTGCCAACCTCGGCGAACAGATCAACTGCCATCTGATCAGCCACTACTGGTAAGTTCAGCTTTAGCAATGACCGAACAATGGTTCTGAGAAACTTTTGCACGTCAAAACATTACCAAGTTTGTTATAGTACTGGGATTCTGGGTGGTACAGTTCCCATAAGGTTTCGGGCCAAAGAGAAGTAGACAAGAAATACGAATTGAATTCAGTTGCCTTTCTCGGTAAAACCAAATTGATGTGCAAGTGAATATTTAGAAGATTGCGTACAAGTAGGGCACAAGGTTGACAGAAGCTGAAGGAATGGACTCAGCCGGTGGGCCTGCAGAAGGACAAAGCAGGTCGTGTTCTGTCAGAGAATTTCAAACAACCTTAAGGATAGTGTTTCTTCAAGAAACGCTACTGTGTTATCTCGAATATAGTACCAAATGAGAAATGAGGTGGCTTTGTGCTGCACATCCAGCCATAGAGGACAACGTGGATAATCAGCATGGATTTAGTTGAATCTCGCCTTAAAACCAAATCATTTTGAATTTTGGGCAATGGTGGACGGAAGCCCGGGGACTGTGCCTACCTGATGAGCCTCAAGAAGGGCGAAACCGGTCATGGGCTGTCTAAGATTTTTCAGCAATTTTATGAGTAGTGCATTACAAATGTCGTTTTAGTTTTGCGGTTTATCACATTCTACGATAAGGAACACCCAAGAATAATGCGTGACTTTCGGAGGGCAGTTCGCCTTCAAACAAGAAACTATTTTGTACCCGAAATTTTTCGGTTGTAACACGCTTCCAGGGATGTAAGAGAGATGGTATACTGCCAGGGCGCCCAAGCCAAGACTGGAACAGTCGAGATGCCGGCGTTGGGTTCGAACCACCGACCTTCTGATCAGTAAGTCTGCACCTTAGTCATTGAGCAATGTCTAGCCCAAGAAAAATCAATACCCAATACGTGAAAAGCCCTCGATGACTGTTTTGCAATACTAAATTGGGTATTTTAAATAGAGCAGATCTTGCCAGGCTTTCCTTGTACGGGCAAAACTATGATATGACGTTCGTTTTTCTCACCGACTCCGTTGGACTCCTAGGTGGGCTCGGAAGTTTAATGCGCTCAATTACTTTCTTGTAGGCCTACTTTAAATTTGACGTTTCCATCCTGGTTTGGGTTAAATTGTGACTGACAGGAGGCATGAGTTGCGAGTTATGTGAATAGTTTCCTAATTTAGTAATAATGGTTAGTGATAGAGGTCAATTCAACAAAACCACACCATATCACAATGATATGACTATAATTTAGAATTTCACAAAGTTAAAATGGAAGTTGGAGATAGAAAACAGCAATTAATGCTGACAGCTGTTCAGATGTAACGCCCTTTCACTGCATAGATATCATGTCACCCCAAGAAAGTACGAAGGATAATATACTGTTAGGTCGCCCAAGTCTAGACTGAAGCAGTCGAAATGCCGGCGTTGGGTTCGGACCGTGGACCTTCCTGCCAGTAAGTTCACGCCTTAACCACTGAGCTATCTCCGGTTCGATAAACGGGAATAGACAACATTTGAAAATTCCTCGGTTATCGTTAGGCAGGAATCCACACGGATCCCGCTATACTGCACGTCTTCAGGCGCTGCTACGGCCAATAATCCTAGCTCGCACGAGACTGGCCAAGAATTCGGGACGCTTACCGGTCCGGCATCAAGAGGAGATATGATTGGTCGAGAATCTGGACCTGAAAGCCAATCATGACCCAGTATTGGCCAAATGCCGGTTGCCAATGGCGCATCCAGAACGCATCAGAAATTCCAGAAAGTTATAACCGCCTACGCTATATGTACGAAGCGCTGTACAACTGTTCCCGACTTCATTTTGGGCACTAATAAACTTTGTGCACCTTTGGTGGTTGTTTTGACGTGAATGCTAGCTTGGGAGACTGAGAACTAAGCTGAAGAAAATACCGTTACTACAGTTATTGCTTAGCAATAGTAAAGTGGGCATTCCGAATGAAATGTATATTGCCAGGCTTTTCTTATATAGGTATGCCTATATAGTTAAACAGATGTTTTTCTTACCGACTCCATTGGATGACAAGGTGAGCTCAGAATTTTAACGCACGCAGTTACTTGCATGTAGACCTGCTTCAAATTTGACGTTCCCATTCTGCTCTGGGTTGAATTTCGCACCACTCTGGGAAAACCGAATGAAACTTTCAGAGTCTCAGAAAGCCCACTAAAACAGATCCCCCCTTAACCGTTCAAACATTTGGTCCCCTCTTTGAAACTTTATCCAATCATCTGAGCTGGCCTCCGTGGGGTGTAGGTGAATGAGTGCTTTTCATACTGCTTAGATACATGCTATATTTACAAGTACATGAATTCGGAGGGTGGAGACATCTTTATTCGAGAATAAAGCTTATCTGCGAACAAACATCTGAGACGGTAGTCACGGTGGACACACATTCACCAAAGCTTCAAACCGTTGTATTTGCGACCACAAAGCTTTTAGTGGCGACCACACATTTCGAGTTGATTCATGACTTGTGGAGCTCCACCCTCAAAGTGCAAGCAATATACCTTATGCTCACAAGCCCCAAAAAATAAGTAAATCGTTCCGCGATTAGTTACCATGCCACCCGAAGGAAGCACGAGGGCTGAGGTACTTTCAGAATGGCCAAGACCAGACAAGAAAAGTCGAGAGGCAGAGGTCAAGTTTGGACCACGGACGTTCCGATGAGTAAATTCGCACTCAAACCACTGAGACATCCCTTTATGGCCACAAACGCACCGAACAAAAGATGACAATTGATCTTTTCTTTACTACAAAATCTTTTGGTCATAAACTCTATGTATTTTGGGTTTTAATCAAATACGGTGTTTTTTTATTTCGGCTGAACTTATCGGTAAATTAGCTTGGTCGAACACTCACGCTTGTGTGCAGCCATGTTCAAGTTTAAATTACTGCAAAGTCGATGGATTTCACTAATAAACACCACAGGTTTACTGAGAAAACCAGTGTTCGCATCTGCGTTAGACAATCACTATTGGCTTTTGATCAGGTGCCTGTTGATCAGTTCGCCGAGCTTGCCAATCGATTTCCAAACGTTTGGTCACCAACTGCACACTGATGATGATGTCTCCTCGTATGGTGACGAAACGTTTGCAAGCCAATTGACAAGCTCGGCGAACAGATCAACAGTCACCTGATCAATAATCAATCACTATTGGCGCCAATGAACGCTGGAATGGAATGGCTGGGTAATCTCACTGACCGCTTGCGCGTGAGGAATTCCAGAGGGAGAGGCGCAAGCTGCCACCCGTTGGATGGCTTCAATCTTTCGTCTGCTCCATTCGAGTTTGCATGCTTCAGAGTTCCTCCAAAAATATGTGATTGATTCGAAGTCTCCAGAACACTGGTCAGGTGCGCTCCACCAGTATTTATGAGTCAATAGTAAGCTATTTTTCGCTTTACGGATGGGGAATAAACCAAGTTTCGACGCATATTAGAGATATTCCAGCACATTTTAACTAATCCAACTTGGGAGGGCCATTAACCTGAGGGTCTTCTGCATGCTAATGAAACGGTTTTGTTCCGAGTTACGGCTACCTTGGAGGGCTGTTAGCGCAAATTTATTGAAGTTGCCATCTATTTAACCATGCGAACATTCCTCGGTATCTTCGGGAGATCGTAAACTGAGAAAACTCGAAGGGAAATGCTGATAGCCACATGACATTCTAGCGTCACCTCATCAAAACCACTAGGTAAGAAAACATGCAGGCACCCCGGGACGTAAATCAATTTGCTTTGTTGTAACGTACATTTGTTTTTAAAAGTCACACGACATAAACATTACAACGAGTGACTTGGCGGGGGGAGAGCTTCATGTGATTCCTCCACTCCCGCAACGGAGAAGCTGTATTGATTACGGGGTCGGGTTCGATAAAGTTTGGTCCGTCCAAAGTAATGAATCCTTTCCCATAGCACCGAATGATTCCCTGGTGTTTTTTTCAGCAATTCAATTTGGTCACCAGTTTCGCATTTTAAAACCCGCCTGACAAAAACCAGTAAAGTACCCGGTGCCAAATTACAGGGCCTCGTTTGATTAGTTTTTTTGGGGGGAAATTCCATTCCCTTGGTCATTCTTTGGTTTAATCGCAACACAGCAGTCACTGACGCCATCATACCGACAAAGAATGCTTTGATAGCTAAAGTAAACTGGAATTCCCCTTTACCCTGGAACTTGTACTTTATTGCAATGTCGTCAGTACTTTTTTGAGAAGTTGAGAATTCGGATGGCATATTGAGGAAAAGACGTTCCGCAGCTGTGAACTATGGTCCACAAAAAATTTCCACCTATTCAGGCACAAAACGGTTATTGAGTGGAGAATGCTGTAACGCTAGTTTATACTCGCGGTTTGATATCAGAGTAGATCTGCTAAGCATTCAACTTTGTTTAAACAAAGACAAATGAGAACCGGCCTCACTGGTACAATTACTTGAAGAGTGCTCCAGTATACAAGATACTAACTACCGAGTTTCACGGACGTTCGTTCTTGAATAAAATTACAACACGTTTCCAAGGCAAAAACTGTGATCTTGACAAGTAGGATGTCAGCAATGAGCTACATGAATTTTTACGTTAAAAAATTTCATGATATTTTGTTTGTCGTTACCGTACTTATCAGAATTCAGTAGTAATATGACAGCTAGCAAATGCTAGTTAATCACATTGCTGATCAGCAGACTGTGGCCAAACGGCAAATTTTTCTAACTGGTTGGTGGGAGGTTGGAAGCCCTTTGTAGCGCACATTGCCGATGATTCCCAATAGATGTGAGACAGCTGTGTAGGGTTTTTAGTAGAGAGTGGCTTCCCTTAAAAGTTGAAGTATCAACCGAAAACTGGCGAATAGTCAGTTGAGCATTCCTCACGAAGAACTTGATCGTCACCACTCCTGAGGCAACCATCCTGCGTATGGGGACGATTGAAAGCTGCCGAGCGAACGTGGTAGAACTGGACCACTTGGTGTTCATCCCCAGCGTTTGCGCTCTAAAATCCAACGCGGTCAGGTCGCCGACGTCACTTGTCCGCACGGTACACGTGCTTACTTTTGATACATGTGACGAAATTTGTTAGAAATCTGATTACCACTGTTGCATAAGCCTTTTCGGATTCTTGCATGGTGTTCACAGTATGGTCACCATTTGTCGCAATTCCGAAAGACTGCCCATGTTTTGTACTTGTCTTGGTTTCATTGTCAAGACCTCCTGAAACCCAAGGTACTAAACTGTGGCCTGATTTTCACTAATTTCTGGTGGTGCGGTTGAGGATTGTTCCAAACGGTGTTTTTGTTTCACACTGCCGTTGAAAAATGATATAGTACAATTTACAAAGTAACCACCGAGTAACTTGAAATTCACAATTAGCTAAGCGTGCGGATACTCGAGCTTCACTCATTCGCCATTTTTTCTGATGCCTTTAAACACAACATTTTTGGTCAATCATAAGGGACGCAAGTAAGCTTCCTCACTAGGTTGATTCAGTAGAACTGGTGTTTTCCGTTTGCCTGCTTACAACTCAACACTCGATCAACGATTGGTTGAAGATCTCGTCTCAGACATTTGTTCTCCCCGTACACGTTACTTCGGGAATGTATTCATCCAATAGGAGGCAACGTACATAGCATTCGGAAAGACATTCAGCCGTTATCACAAACTAGCATGCTGTACACGATCAGATAAGGGTCGACCGACGGACCAAACTCGATTAATGTGTAACAAAACCATTCAAGATTGATAACGGCCCTGTTCTAACTTCTTAGTGAGAGAAACGCAGAACGTTACAATTCGCTTTGGGGTTTCTGGGAGTGTTGAACTGCAATATATAGAGAGTTGCACCGGGAGAGCTAAATTTGTGGCCAAACGCGTCCTTTGGATAAGCAACTAGTATCTTTCTGAAACTTTTACGAACTTTAGCTCACGTGCGATCAGCCAAACCAAACTGGCCAATAGCAATACGTCTACCAGTGCTAGCTGACAAAAGAAAAGTTAATTGGTCGATTTATACTGGTAGATTCAAGTTCACCTTTTGGGGTCTATAAGCCTAAACAAAAATGTAATATTTCCCGGTGACTGAACACAACCCTTTCAACTTTACCTTTCACAGTATTCGGGAAAATTCTTATGGGCCGCTATAAAGTTGTTAGAGACAACCGTTATAAGGGGCGAAATTTGCAGTCCCACATTCACAAGACGTTTTACACAATAAGTTGTGAACCGTTATGTTAAAAGGCTACTCTGATAGTACTAAAGTATGGTTGTTGGTCTATTCGCCGAGCTTGGCAGGTGGATTACAAACGTTTCATCACCGATCGAGGTGACATCGTCAGTGCAGGGTTGAGTGGGTGAATTCCTTCTCTTCTGCCTGTGATTATATAGCTTCTAAACAGTATCTGGTAGTTCTGGAAACGGTCTTTGCATAGTTTGGTTGGTCTCCTGTGAATCTGACGGGGTCTCAATCTCCTGTGTCTGCTTGGTCCGTTGGGCACATTCAGTTGGTCTCCTGTGAAGGTTGTTCTGTTGTGATTCGGCCGTTTTCTTCTTGCTTTTTGGTGTGACTTTGTTCCCTTGATTGGTTGATTCGGTGACCTTCTGTTTCAATGATTGTCTTACTTTGATCCAATTAGTCCGTTGGTTGTCGTCAGGTTTCTTGGTTCATAGTCCCGAGACTGTGTGGTTCCTTTGCTCGTAACGGCTGACCGATTGGGTCGGAACAATCCCATTCTATCAGAAAAATTCAGACACTGAACAAAAAACGGATTGGCTAACTGGGCTGAAGTGGATTTTATTTGATTCACTTAGAATTATCCCGGTCTAGACTGACCAACCAAACTACTCCAATTACTGGCACAGAAAAGAAAATAAGTCAAGGTTTTTGCCCTAAACTTATTGACTTTTTTCACGCAAACGTCTAAGTCAGTGTCATAAGCTTGGGCTGAAACTGGGTGGGAAAAAGTTAAAATGTATTCAGGTCGCCCCCCTTCCGAATTCTTTTGTTATACTGTCATCATCGCTACTTCTACAGACAGTTGACAGGAATAGATACGGTGACCGTAAACGGTGGAATATTTACCACAAGCCGGGCAATCGTGAGCTATAAGCAGTGTCCACTGATACAGCGAATTCATTTGAGCTGTCTGAATCGCTGACCGATTAAACTCTCTAGCCCAGTCAGAGAGGCCCGTCGATCTCCCGCAGTTGCGTTTGCCTCCGCATGTACGCAAAAGCGAGTAGTACTTGTGAAAAGCCATTCTCTACAAACCACAAGGCCTTTTGGCAGCCATTTTGTGGGCAGGTTCGGGCATGACCACTCGGAATGCGATTGGTCAATCGTAGGCCCCCTATGTCACCGATTCTCTAAAAAACGGTTTTGGTTTACTTTCCTCTCAGTCTCCACATCATTTTGATGCACGCACTAGAGAAGTTGGCTATTTGTGGAGTAATGTGTGGAATCGGCTGAGACGGTTCAGAAAGTTTGATCAACAGTCTGTGAGTTTATTGACACAAGAACTTCTTCACGACAAGTGGGCGTACCACCCAATGAGCTGAGTTCCATTTCAATCGGAAAAACAAGCAACCATGTCACATTTGACAACTATACAGAATCAGTATCCGTTGAAAGTTGTTTTTGGTTTTTTCGAGAAATACACTCATTTGCAAATCAATTTGGTTTTCACGAGAGACTCAACCGAATCTCTCGTTTTATGATATTCTACAACTGAAAGTGCTGCACTCCCTATATTTTCATAACCCTAAAAGTCAGTTTTTCTAGCATATGAGCTTCACCAATCGATATTTTTTCAGTCGCTTATTAGAGCTAACTTATAGAATTAGTTGTTATTCAGGAATTTCTTCGAATTTTGCGTTTCAAAACGTTTGAAACTAAGTTTGATCCCCATCCGCTTTACCAGACCAAGTACTACGGGAATAATCCTGGCATATATGGTGAGACTGCTGCGATATCCACCTAATGGGAGTCAAGGAATACCAAGTAACGGTATTTCGGTGGGATCTAGCCCTAATTTCGTATTGGGGGCGTTACTGGCAACTGATAAACGGGATCGACACGAACTGCTTGATGATAGGCCTGACAGTTCGTTATTGGCTTGTTCGCTGAGCTGAGCAATTTGATTGCAAACATTTCGTCACCAATCGAGGTGACAGCATCAGTGTGTTATTGAGAAGCGTAGTGGTGCGTAGCGGTGGGTTAGTGGTTGTGCGTTGAGTAGTGTTACGTGTGTGTTAACATACGTGCTGCTAGCCGGGGATGACCTTTGATCGCGATTGGTTGTTCGGCTGGGCGGCTACATTGGTTGCTGTGTTATTCTGTATACGCATTCGCCGATGCCCACGTGACCTTTGGGCTTGGCGCCTCCTGCCGTCGTAATCTGGTCGATTCTGGAGTGACCTCAATGGGCCTGATAGGCCTGAAAACATCACAAACGGGAAATTCAGCTGGGCTCCAGGTGAGTCTCTCGCAAAACCAATTTTGTTTGCAAATGAGTAGTGTATTTCGCTAAATGTGGGCGTGATTCGGTAGAAAATGCCGCAGGCTAATCACGTCACTTGCCTTGGTAAATGTGAAGCGTTCTCGTGGTCATACTCAGACCACTGGGATACAGGGAATGGAGCTACGTTTGAAACATTGACCGAATCCACTCACGTTTGTCCAGATGTTCACGGTGAGTGGCGTTTATGCGCGACTAGATGCTACAGTATCGTTGCCACGTATTTTACCTGTCACCCGCGTGGTTTAGCGGCAAAAGGCGCATAACGGACGTAGATACGCAGCATTCTATGTAACTAAAAGGGTCTCTGGGTACGTGTTCCATCAGTCAAGAGACAAACAACCCTTGAAGTTACATTTATGGTGGAAAAAACCCTGAAAATGTGTTAACTGCTTTCATTCCTTGTAGTTACTATTCCAACACTACGAACCAGAGCCCCGGCTAAACCGAATGAAGTATTTTGTTATCACTTGCCAGGTGAACATACCATCTTACCACTTCTCTTTCCTTTTTCGAATGCCTAATATTCCTTCTATGATTGGGGTCGATTAACCATCAGTAATCGCCTAGGTCATCAAATTCCTGGTTCTCAGATAAATCCTCCGCGTTCGATCACCAGAGTTTTGCAGCACAAGTCGCAAGGACAACCGCTTTTTTCTGGCGAAAAATTGAGCTTTTGCCTTGTCGTGTGATTGGGAATTACTTTTAGCTGTAGAATTTCAATGGCATCAATACTACTTACAAAAATGCAGTCACTATATCAGCAGTGCTTGACCCATGGGATGTGATATATGTAGTTTTTTAGCCCTCGTTATATGAACTCGCACGTTCAAGATTTCCAGCAAATTCCTGACACTGTAGGCACTTTCACCTATGGCCGAAATGCCTCAGCCCATAAACGTTTTCAAGAGAGTACAATATTTCAGTAGTGTGTTCTCACCAGCAGCTGTTCAGGTCCTCCAAATGTCTTTTATTTCCAACATCCAGGGCACCACACCGTCTCTCCGATGGATTGTTAGTCTCCTGTTGATCATTGGTTCGTTCTTCGGCCAATCAGCAACCAGTATCCCTATTCGGTCTGTCATTGAGGTTCCTGAAGTCATTTCTCCCAGTCAAACATAACCAACAAAAAATGTACACAGTCCTCTTTTTGTACACTACTTTTATTTTATTTTTGAATCAATATCTGTGCGAGACAGATTCCCGTCCACCTTCAACGTTGTGTCCAAAAGGCTACTGGGCTGTTGAAGTGAACGATGGAATCACAAAAGACAAAGAGGAACATGGAATGTGTCAATTTTGTCCCCAAATCGGTTGTTATGTCGTTCAGCGCCAGGCTGATGGCGGTAAAGACGGTTTCTCCGAACCCGCAACAACAGTGACGGCTGATGCATCCACTACTCATAACATCAAACGCAACACCATCAACACAGGGACTATGCCGGAACACATAAACCGAACGGCTCGCAACAAAACCGGAAAGCGACAACCGGCACCGGCAACGCAACTCAAAACCTATATGTCCTGCACCGACTGGGATAATCTACCCAAACCCGAGGATATTGTGAGTTATCTGGATTGTGTGATCATTGGGAAAACAGATGCCTACTACCTGTTTATCTATGAACCCCGATTTCAAGCTCAACGTGTCCCCGTAATTGACTGTGTCGACGCAGGATTCCTCGACTGGATACCGAACGGAACACAACTACTTGGATTGGAGTTGGGGTTTCGAATGAAGCATATTCCACCTTACTTGTTTCGATACAACCAGCGAATCATGGAGGTAAGCGCACCATTTCAATGTTATTGTAATACCCTACCCGAGTGAAGTCAAAAAGGTTGAAGATAGCCCGTAGTATGAGATAAACAAGTAATTAGTGTCTTACCAACCGGTTGGGAGTATCAAACTCTGGACAAAAAAGGTGTACTTTTGTGTTCCTTTGTGTTCTAGCAGGGGATTCAAGCCATTGTGACACGCATACAAGAAAAGCAATAAAGTGCAAGTAGGAGGTCGACAGTCTCTGGGTCAATAAAGTAATGGGCTAAAAACGGAACGACTCGAAAATACGGCCATGCATCATAATGATAATGATAATAATAATAATAATAGTACTAGCCTTATTTATAACCGTCCGGCTGAAACATCTTTTCGGATCACAGTTGCCATGCCACCAGGAGCACACACAAGAACTGATACGCTTTCAAGTTGCCCACGCCTAGACAAGATCAGTCAAGATGCATAGAACCAAGGATCCACTGACCTGCCTTGAGCTCAAACGTTTCTTAACCAACCTCTCATCAAAATTGAAAAAATTTGAAATTTAAAATGAATTTGCACCAATACCTGTCTTCACATGCAGTGCGTCAAAGAGTAGGAGCGGAAATGGGGGCAAGACCTGGCTGTAAAATGCATTTCAGACACCTTGAAGCGGAAAAAAGTACTTTTGAGTGGACTATAAAACATGACAAGAGAGAAACACAAGAGAACGGATGGCACAAAGAAGTGTACAAACCCACCCATCAGTTTGGGAGGATAACCATACCCTTCTTACAAAAAAGGACTTTCTCGCTTTTTGAGAATACTGTTTTATCGCTAACGATCGGGAGGAAGAGTTTACCGTTAAATATTGCATTACACAAGCATAGGCAATGTGAGGGTTAAAGACCCTTTCACAAAAGAAACTACTCGCACGGTTGCTGCAAACTCTTCGACAGTCCACGACCGGTTTCGCCATTCTTTGGACTCATCATGTAGGCGCAGTCCCCGAGTTTCCGTCAACCCCATGTTCAAGACTTTTACGAGAGATAACAACAGAATACACACATTGGCGCATTCATTTTGTTTTAAAGAAGTCCTAGGCCGAACCCAAGCTGAATCTCTCGTTTGTGCTTCACAAAGGTCATCTCGTATCTCAATTAGTACGATGTTAGGGATATCGCAGCATATATTTGCTGAAAGCAATTCTATAACCCACGACCATTTCTAACCCTTTTTAGACTCGTCAGGTAGGCAAAATCCCTCCGCTTCTATCAGAATTAAACTCTACATGAACCCAAATTTAATGCGATTCGCGAAAAAATCGTTTGCACACCAATTTGTTATTAACTCGCATATCGTACGAAGTGGAGAAGGTGCACTAACCTGGAGCACATTCAGTTGAAGAGTTCCAGCTTCGATTCAGTTGAATCCCCCTTCAAAATCAAATTTATGT